CGCCGAGGCACGAGGCCGAACGCCCCCGATCCCAATTTGGATCGGGGAGAGAGAGCGAGGAGTGGGGGGAGGAAGTGGGGACGTGGGCTAGGGTTAGTGGGGGTTATAGGGGAGTGGGGGGTTGACCTGGGCCGGTTGGTACGGCGGCCTGGAGGCCTATTGGGCCGAATGGCCCAGGAGGAGGGGGAGCCTTTTGTCTTTTGTTTTAGTTTTGATTTTTCTTCTTTTCCCTTTTCTGTATTTTATGTTTTCAAAAATGTTTAGCACCTAATTGATTTTTATAAGATATGGGAGCTAGCTCATAAATTGCAGTGCATTAGATCCTAGCACCAAAAACTAGTTTGGGTGAAATTCTATTTCATATTAGATTTAGATGAATTAAAAGGTTATTAAGTAATGTTTTCAGCCACTGTTTGAGGTTGTTTAAGTCACTTAACTAATTCATTTAATGTTAGTTACAATTTTATAATTGCCTCTGATTTATCTTCTATTTATTGAACATTTTAGTTTTAGTATTTGAAAACTTTTATTGTTTGATTGAATTTGAATTTTAAATTTGAATCGGTTTCGAACTAACGCGAGGTTAGCAAAATAACTGAGGTGGCATGGCATCATTAACGTGGGATTACTGTAGCTTAATTATCCAGGCGTCACACCTCTTCAGGCGCCGACCCCACTGGTGTGGGAGCTCGGGCAGACCACGATCTACCAGATGGAGTTGTAGTTTTCCTAATTTTGAGACTTTTGGTTGGTTTTTGTGGAGGCGCGTGCTCCGGTAAATAAAATTTTCCCGAGCTTCCTCATCTTGACAATGTAGGCTATGGTAACATCTATGACTCGTTGGCATATTTTCATGCTCATTTTGGCCGATGGGGTTAGCGACTTAGCGTTTTCAGAATTTGTTAGCATGACAATGATTGCGAATTTTCTTTGCAATTTGTTACTCCGCTTTCTCTCCATCATGGTGTGTGGCCTTCGGTCCGGTTGTGAGGCAAGTGAGTATTTTTTAATGGAAATAGTAACCGGCGAACGTTCGCCAGGGAGAAACTGCCACCGGATGCTCAAGCTACCATACAATCTCGATACTACGGTGCAGTTTGGATGACTTGTATACACTTAAAATTAAACAAAGGCCATGGCCGTTTTACAAAAAGGCCACCGGTTCTCGAAATGCTATGTAAACCGTCTGATGACGTTCACAAATGTCATGTCTTGTGGCGAACGTTCGTCAGATATGCCCATCATTTTTTAAGGTTGAGACCATGGATATGTTATATGTGTGTCTTTTGGAAACAACGAGTTCAACTATTTCTTCTCCAGGGCGCTGGTCCGACTGAATCGTGGCCTTGAGAACTTCTTGTCAGTGACCAACAATGACTGGATGGTCCCGCGATGGAGAGGCAACGACGGCGGCGCTCCATTGCCATGTTCGGGAGGAATCGCCCAAAGACCTCGATGCATATTCTCTATTTTTCGGAGGGGTCGCCTAGTTGATCCCGAGGAACTCGCTCACGGAGAGCAGGTCGCACAAGCCTGCTCCTCCCTGCATGTGGATCTGACCGGCGTCGAACTCCCAACAGATGCCCTCGTTGCCAAGCCCATGCAACGAGTCCACGGCGCCGCACATGCCATCCACCTGCACGCCCCCCTGGTGGCTCACGCCCTGCTGCGCCGGGCTTCCGTCGAAGGCCGCGTCCAGTGCGCTAGGTGCCATCAGGCCGGTGCCGTAGTCCATGTCCATGTCCATGTCGAGCCAGTCCGCGAACATGACCTTGGGGAGCACGGGCGTGTGCGGCCGGATCGAGGCTACAACGCCGGGGACTGTGAGGTTGCTCGAGTCGTCGGCCATCGACGACGACTCCAGCGGCCCGGATGAGCCGGAGATGGACGGCTGGTTAACAGTGCTGCGTTCGCGGGCGCTGTCGCTGGGCGTCGGGCTCCGCGGCGCGTCCGAACCGGCGGACTTGGCTGGTGACCGCGCGCCCTCGACGCGCTTCTTCAGGTACGAGTTCCAGTAGTTCTTCACCTCGTTGTCGGTCCGGCCCGGCAGGTGCTGCGCTATCTGAGACCACCTGCGCCAGAGAAAAAACCTCACCAATGTTAGAGAAGCAAATTAGTGTACAGTTACTCCGATAAATAAAGCTATGATTGTCAATGTCAAAGCATCTGTTACACTATCATTGCTAATTTGTCTCAACAGTTGACTAGTCCTACAAGCGTGTACAAATTATTGTACTACACATATCTTTACTTACTATCAAAATTAAGGACGGTACTAATTATGACATTGGGCCGTTGGGCGTACGAACTGGAAATGACAAAACTATCTTGCTTGCACCCTCTGGCAACTGCAACGACCATTTAGGAACGTAAGCATTAGATTAGACACAAGCTTAGCGATTCTTAGCTGTTCTTTCTTCCTTTTAGTCCAAAAAAGAGTTAACCGTGACCAAGCCAATTTTCCATCCAGTAGTTAGGTTAGGCCTTATACAATGGAAGATGCTTAAAGGGATGCTTAAAAAAATAAACCGAGATTTTCTAAAGCACCGGTACTTATTTCTACACAAGAGACGCTTAGTTAAGCGTCTACCCTATACAAACAAACACCGGTGCTTAAAAAAAGTCTGGTTTATTTCTGTAAGCATCTCCCCTAAACACCTCCCAGTTAGTGGAAGCTAGGCTCTTGTTTACTATCGCCAAACGGGCACTCAAAAGAAGCAATCAAGTGCCTCGATATGGAACGCAGGTGTCAGCATCAACTCCACCACGCCAGCAAAACTTTTTTTTTTTGAAGCCAGCCACGCCAGCAAAACTCAGCTTGCCAGCTTTGCTGACACTAGCAAATTGGCGCAAGCATACTAGTAGGAGTACTATTTTTCTTCTTATTGAACCGCTAAGAAATACCCCTAGATTTTCTTTAGAAAAGGACGAAGTGATACCCCTAGATGAATTACCGAAGAAAATGTCAAGGAAACACTCTCTGATTCAATCACAATCAGGTGACGTTTCGCTCGTCACCAATCCACTTGCTCTGGAGGCGAGGAGGAAAAGATGAGGATTGTGATGCGTGGTTGCTTACTTGTTGCCGAGTGTGGCGTGGAGGCTCATGACAGTCTCCTCTTCCGCCCGGGAGAACATGCCGTGCTTCAACCCCGGCCTCAGGTAGTTGATCCATCGCAGCCTGCAGCTCTTCCCGTTCCGCTGAAGCCCTGCAATTCACTGCAAAATTTAGCCCCCACCCGACCTGCCAAGGTACATTTCACAAATTTCTGCCGGATCCTTTTCCGAAAGCACTGCAAAAAATTGCTGAATTCTAAAGAGCTTCGTCTACTGTCCTCTGGCGATTTTAATTCACCATCCCACGAGGCACGAGCCAAGGTACATTGCAGAGCCTCGACAAGGAAAGCAGGGGAAATTGGGAATTGGGCATGAACCTCGCAGTTTCGCGGCAATGCAAGCAGACAAGAAGAAAATCTGCCCAATTCCCTGTCGAAATTCTCGCTTGGCTGGGAGGGAGTTCTTACCGGCCTTGACGGGGACGGTGCTCCAGCAGCTGTGGCCGTAACGGACGATGAAGTCACGGAGCTTCTGGTTCTCCTCCGGCGACCACAGCCCCTTCCGGTGCTGAGCCTTGGGCTTCTGGCACGACTTGCACCCCATCAATTCTTGCGAAATGCCGGCCGCCGCGGAGGCGCAGGACCAGCAATGCTTTCCAAGTAGTAGGAACTACGAAGGAGGTTAAGGTTTATTAAATCAGCTTTGAGAGGCGCGGGAGGGGCTGCGATTGCTGTGCTGTTTGCACTGTTGTGTCTGGCGTGAGGGCTCTCGGTGAGACTTTATAGACCCAATGATGAAGTTGTTGGCCGCCTTCTCGTGGGGATAGAGAAAGATTAGTCACCGATTGTTTTTAGTGATTCACAAACTACTCCCTCCGTTCCAAAATAGATGACCCAACTTTGTACTAAGATCCAACTTTGTACTAACCTTAGTACAAAGTTGGGTCATCTATTTTGGAACGGAGGGAGTATTTGAGATAGCATATCCACTGATTTCTGCAATGCTCTTTTATTTAGTAAAGCTTCTTTATTTGTAGCATATAGTAATCCAAAAGGCGTGGAATTGTAGAAAGAAAAATCCATCTTGGAGACACCCAATTGTAAGTCCTGCAAATTGTGTACTTTAATAATTCGCCGTCCTCTGTGAGCTATTTGGAAGATAAACCTTGGACAATTTTAGTTGATCTTTATTTTAGAGACACCTAGCCAGTTGGGTGATCCGTGTAATTACGTGCCTAGCATTTTAATAATTTTAATCTTGGAATCTAATTTGTTCATCTTCTTGTTGGTACCATCTTTTGGAATAATCCACTTGAAATAAGAATAGAAAATATATTCAAATAATTTATGATACTCAACTGTAGAGCTTCCCCGCGGATGGCAACTCAAAAATGAAAAAGTATCCGACGAAACTAAGTTACAATGACGAAAAAGGGTTCCCCCACTGTTATAGAGCAACTATCATCCATATCCAAGCAAACCGAGACAAACACACGCCACCACCACACACAACATACACACACCCAAGGCAAGATACAAAGATGCCGAACACCGACCCACCCCCCCCCTTCCCTCAACGACTACCAAACACACTACAGATGAGCAAAGAACATACACCTAGAGCCGGCGGAGACCAGCACCAAGATGAGCGATCCACCGGGAAGAGGTGAGACGGACAACGTCGGTGCGAGGACTCCAGGACGATGCCTTCAAGAAGGGCACGACCACGGATAGCCGCCACCGTCCGATCCAAAGATTAAGTTTACACCCAAAGCAACACGACGGTAGTAGGAACACCACGACGGAGCATGCAGGAGTAGCACGACGTCCGCGGACGCTGCCACCGTCGGCAAGTACACAGACTGGGCACCCCGGTGCTCCTACCCCTCCGTCGTAACCCCGCTCCGCCAACCACCCGCAACCATGCCGCCCAAGCAGCCATGGATGCCCGCCCGCACCCGAGCCGCGCAGTCAGCCCACGACCAACATGCCCCAAACATCCTCGGATCTGAGCCTTCCCGCACCCGGCCGAGGAAAGGGGGGATAAGAAGGAGGAGCGGATGCATCCACGGCCGGTGACGGGTGGTTCGACCACTGTCAGAACCTCCCGTCCCTCCATCCAAACCTCCCCAACGTACACCTCTGTCGCCTGACTGAGGCCACCGGCTTAGAAACCCGCGAAGCCACCAGGAGCCACCCGCCCACCTATGAGGGATCCAGGAGACCACCACCTGTAGCTAAGAATCTCATTAAAGATGCCCTCCCGCGCCGCACGTCATCGTACAGAGGCCGGAGCTGGAAGAGATCGACCGGAGACCAACCAACATGCCCCGCCAGATCACCCCGCGAGATCCTAAATCATGCAACCACTGCGCCACCGATGCGCCGCCACAATGGGCAACGACGATGCCCCGACTGCCTGCCACCGCGCCGCCGGTCCCATGCAAGTACATCGCCATCGTACGCCCCGACCATCCCCCGCTAGCCGAAGAGGGACATGTGCACGGGGAGGAGAGTTCCCGTTGTCGCCGTTGCTAGTCGGGCTTTGCTCGGCGGCACAAGCCAGCGGCATGGGAGGAGGAACGGGGGAGGAGGGGTTAGGTGGCGGCTAGGTTTTCCCCCGGTCGCTCGCTAGAGCGACGCGGGGGCTGAATAGTATTGTACCCTTTAGGTTAGCTTCTCTTCTCACAAAAACCCGAACCAAGTTACAATAAAAAGAACTCTGTGGAAACCGACTTCAAAAGCTTTTAAACATTCTTAAACATATACAATTTGCTAGAAAGGTGATGTTCAATAAACATGTGGAATTAAACTTCAAACTGATATGTCTCCGTCGTTTCTATAATTTTTTATTGTTCCATGCCAATACTATACAACTTTCACATACGTTTGGCAATAATTTATATGTTTTATTGCACTACCATATTGACCCAGTGCCCAGTGCTAATTCATGTTTGTTGTTGCATGTTTTTGTTTGGTAGAATATCCATATCAAACAAAGTCCAAACGCGATAAAATGTTATGAAGATTTATTTTGGAATATATGTGAATTTTTGGAAGAAGAATCAACGCAAGACGATCTTGAGGGGCCGACTTGGCACCATAGCACGTCGAGGGGCCCAGGCACGCCCTGATGGGTACTGGGAACCTCGTAAGGCAGTCGCTGCCCTTCTTTCGTCGCAAGAAATATAATTTCTGGATAAAAATATCCTCAAAATTTAAGCCCAATCGGAGTTACAGGTCTCCGGGAATTTAAGAAACGGTGAAGGACCAGAAAATAGAAACGTGAAACAAGAGAGAGAGAGAGAGAGAGAGAGAGAGAGAGAGAGAGAGAGATCCAATCTAGGAGGGGCTCCTGCCCCTCCAGTGCCATGGCGGCCATGGACTAGAGGGGGAACTCTCCTCCCATCTAGGGGGAGGCCAAGGAAGAATAAGAAGGAGGGGGCTCGCTCCCCCTCTTTCCCGGTGGCGCTGGAATGCCGCCGGTGCTATTGTCGTGACGGCGATCTACATCAACAACTTCACCGCCGTCATCACCAACTCTCTCCCCCACTATGCAGCGGTGTAACACCTATTCTCTTTGTTTTAATCTCTAGTTAAACAAGGTGCTTAATGCTATATATTATTTCCAACGATGTATGGCCATCCTATGATGTTTGAGTAGATCTGTTTTGTCCTATGGGTTGATTGATGATCATGATTGGTTTGGGTTGTATGTTTTATTTTGGTGTTGTCCTATGGTGCCCTCCGTGTCACGCAAGCGTGAGGGATCCCCGTTGTAGGGTGTTGCAATACGTTCGTGATTGTTTATGGTGGGTGGCGTGAGTGACTGAAACACATACCCGGGTAAGGGGGTTGTTGCGTATGGGATAAAGAGGACTTGATACTTAATGCTATGGTTGGGTTTTACCTAAATGATCTTTGATAGTTGTGGATGCTTGCTAGAGTTCCAATCATAAGTGTATATGATCCAAGTACGGAAAGTATGTTAGCTCATGCCTCTCCCTCATATAAAATTACAATAATGATTATCAGTCTAGTTATCGATTGCCTATGGACAAAATACCTCTCGTGTTATAAAAATATTTTTACTAAAAAACTAACTATTATTATCATCTCGCAAAGTACTCCTAGTTTTATTCTTGCAAAGTAGTTCTAGCATCACACCTACAAATAGTTTCATACTTGTTCTAGGTAAAGCGAACGTTAAGTGTGATAGAGTTGTATCGGTGTGGTTGATAGAACTTGAAGGGAATATAAATCCTACCTTTAGCTCCTCGTTGGGTTCTACACTCTTATTTATCGAAAAAGCTACAATTGACCCCCTACACTTGTGGGTTATCACAAACTCATATTCATTTAGGAGGCCACTTTTATACTTACTCACAATGATATTTGATTCTTCAAGATGAATTGGGCCAGGAACATAATGATCACAATGCAAAAGCTACCATTCTATGGAGACCAAATAAAGGCTTGGCACCACTAAGGTCACTAGCTCTCCCTTCTTTCTTCAGGGTTTACTAAATAAGTTGGATAATCTCGGAGATCTAGAGGTTCCTTTTTCCACAAAGGAAATTAATGATATGATAAAAAAAATCCCTTCTGACAAGGGTCGTGCACTTTTATTATGTCCTATCGGGATATTCTTGCAAATGATTTGTATAAGCTTATTGAGGTCTTCTATCATGGAATAATTAACTTGCAGTCCATCAATACACCTTTTATCACCCTGATTCCAAAGAAAGACAACTCTCAAACCTCATGTGACTTCATGCCAATGTCCTTGCTTAACTGCATCATCAAAATCTTAAAAAATCTTCTTGCAAACAAGCTGCATAAAGTAATTTTCTACTTGGTGCATATCAATCAATATGGCTTTTTAAAAGCGGATCCATCCAAAACTATCTTACTTGGGATTTTGATTTCTTATTTTAGTGCCAATAGTATAAAAAAAGAAATTGTGGTCTCAAAGTTGGAATTTGAGAAATGCTTTGATGCGAACGAGCATGACACAATCATGGTATTTCTTACTACTAGAGCTTTTGGATCAAGATGGTTGAATTGGATGGAAGTGATTTTCCCCTCTAGCACTTCCTCGGTTTTAGTAAATAGAATCCGTGAAAACGAGCTCACTGTAAAAGAGGAGTTAGACAACGGGGCCTCTATCTCCACTATTTTCTATGCTTCCTGCTGATATGCTTCAGTGTGTCCTGAATGAGGCTATGAATAATAACTTGATCAGATCCCCATTTCCTGTTTATCACGCCCCGACTTCTGCGTCATCTAGTACACATATGACACGATTTTTGTAATGCTTGGTGTTGAAAGCCAACTTGCACAAGCAATGAATCTGCTGAGGCTATTTGCTGCTCAAACTGGTCTGGAAATTAACTATATTGCATATATGTGACGGTCCATCTCAATGTCACCCCTTACAAATTCATAGATTAGTTAACATTCAAGGATGATAGCTGGGATATTTTCCATTCACATATTTTGGTCACCCTCTCAATACTAGCAGACCAAAACTTGAAGACTTAAATCCTATTTATCAAAAAATTGAGATAAGATTGGTTGCCAGCTCCATTTTATTATCATATC